CCGCCTTCCCCCTCTCCCTCCCCCCTCCCCCCGCACCGCCTCCCCGCGATTGAAGATCCTCCGTTTAATAGCGCGATAGTGTCCCTAATTCCGACGGCCGTTTGTCGACACTTCGAAGCTTCCGGGGAGAAACGCGGCGAGCCGTGTCGCGGATCGATGCCCCTGCGAATCTCCCCCTCGATCGCGCACGCAATCGCTCGGACGATCGCTTCTCAGCCAATTCATTTCAGCCTCCACCCGGATTACCCGTGACTTACATCGCGTATCGAATGACGTATGACCGTGACGGGAGAGACAAAACGAACGGCTGTGAAAATATGATATAATGTTATCATTACATCATCGTTAATGATTAATATTGAAGAGGTACCTCGTAACAAATCGTTAAAATAAGCCGTATTTAAAAACAAAAAGGAATAAACGTAAATAGAAAATCGGTAGCTTGAAAAAAAAAAAAACGAGCCTCCCATTATGGCGTTTAATTGAAGGAAGCTTCCTACAAGCTTCGAGAGCTCTCCGTCGAGAAGATATTTTAATTGAACGGCTAACGGGCTACGACCGTTAACTAACTACGAACTATCGTAATTGCACGCGTCAGATGTTGATTTTCACGTGTAAGCGGATCGTGAAAACTGATCGGAATAAATTCGCGGGTAACGGGATACGCGAAGGGGAGACACGAAAGGGGAACCGCGTGCGCGCCGTTTAACGATCCTGCAATCGTCATTAGGCAGGATCATTTATAACCTCCTGTTCTCATCCTATTTACGATCCTACCGTAACGCTGCCCGCCGGGTCATCGACGATAATTGCCGATTTACAAGCGACATGCACGCGTGCGAACGTGCACACATTTCAGCATATTCACCGGTAACTTTATTACGAGAGGAAGCTTGTATCGGTAGTATCGGTGAACTCAACGGTAATCGGTTATCATGTCCAGATTAATATAAACGCGGCGACGAAACCGAAGGAATAGCGAGTGCTGTAACATACATCTCTTCAATGCGCGAAGCAAAATCCGATTATCAATCTAAAGCGATAGCAGCGAAGCTTCTTGTCTTGGAAAAGGAGGTATACTAGTCGTAAGACAATCGTCATTTAACATAATGACCAATTTGTTATCTCGACTGGGAGACGCGGACAAAAAAGTCGAACGGATGGTTATAAAAAAAAAATATATCAAGTCATTACATCTAATCTATCAAGGCGTCATCGTTGATCGCTGGACGTGACGTAAGTGCGCCGTAATGATGAAACCAGATTAAAAGATAATGATGTCGAATCAACGATAATAAACTGTAAAGTACATTAGTATTGATGCTACGTAAAGTTAAGCGTATAACTAATTCGATGCAGCAGCAAGATCGATCGATAAGTCGTGGTAAATGACGCAATTTCGATATCGGGATAAAGCTTCGATTATATAAATCTGATCGGGAATTTATTTATAAAGAGAGAAGGATTATAAAAATTATTTGCGAATAAATATATATATTTGCAAATAATTGTGAATTTATTTGTGAGAGAGACAAAAATTATGAAAAATTATTTGCGAATATATGTATATATTGCAAATAATTTTCCATCTCTTTTTCTCTTTTGTTCAATCTCTTCGGTTTTCACAAATAAATTCTTCGATCGCGTATAAAAACAAATTACCACAAATCGGGAAAGGAATCACTTCGGATACTGCATACGGATATTTGCGTCACGGATATTCTCTATACTAAAGTTCCAGCGAGCGGATGTGTGTTTGCGCGTGCAAATATGTACGTAATCGGTTCTATTGACTAAGATTTCCCAAGAGAATTAAAATAACAAAACTTGCAAAAGTGAATTCTACGTGCAATTTTATCTTCGGAAGAAATATGCATAAGAAAATAAATAACGCGTCGCTCGATCGAGGAATAGTCCTAATGAGAGATATTTTTTCTTAGTAATTTTTATAATTATGTCGCTGCGATAACGCCAACAGCCTTGAATTATCGCGCATTAAAGAGCGTGGTGATAACTTTATGATGAACATTCGGTATGAATATAAAGGCGGTGTGAAAAAATTCCTCGAGGGCACAAAAAGATGACACGTATTCAAATGCGCTGAATGCGATGGCATTAAACGTACACGATCCCATTCGCATGACCTGAATTTTTTTGCGACGCGTCATATCCCGCGACTGTGTATCTTCTATTATATCAATCCGACGTATTCTCAGAAATTAAGCATTTTCCGAGTGCTGTTTATGCATACATTACATGTATACATTAAGAAAATTTATCTTTCTCATATTGGAAATCGCGATGTCTACATGATCGTTCAAAATAGTTTCTGCAAAATAGTTTCTACCTCATGATTTTAGAATGTCTTTAGAATAAAAGAGAGTGTACTTAATTAAAGATCGCGATTTTTTTTCTAGCGGAAAACGATGATTTCTCCGAGAACTCGCTTTTAATGAGCATCAGTTAACTGCATTAGCAATAAGCGAAATAACATGCAATTTGATACATGCGTTTTTTATGATATTATTGTATTTAATAGGGCAGAAGACAGGGAGAGTAAAAAAAACTGTAGCGATTAAACGTTTAGTGTGGTAATCAGCATGGCCAAGTTGCGTATGTGGAAACGCGGCTGCAGGTATTGTAATGTACGAGAATAATAGTTTCGTCCTTCGCGAAAGCGAACGTTCGCATGTAAAGGCAGAATGCGAAAAAAATACTTTCTTTGAAAGCTGACGGTTTCTCTTCGAGAACGCAGAAATAACAGTTTAAGATGCATTAAACAGCTTATTTTACTTGATTTCAATGGTAATAGCATTTTACAATATAAAAATTGGACTAAAAATCTTTCTAGAATAACGAAAAAGAAAGTAATCATCAAATATCGAATTTGAATATCAAATCGATTTCAAAACGTACGAGGATAAAATGAAAATAAAAATGCGAAATGAAATATGACTTCGAGATCTGTAATTAAATTTGTGATGAAGAAATTCATCAAACGTACATGTGAGTGTACTTGAACTGTACAAATATACATGTAGGGCAGAGTAAATTTGATTATAATTACATGAGAATTTCATAATGGGGCATTCGGAAATGTTCAGCGAAAGTCTGTTTATACGTCGCGATAAGAAACAAGCTTGCGTACAAATTGGATCTTGAAGCAAGTTAGAAAGTAAATTAGCTTTAACAGATAACATCATCAGCGTAAAGTAAACATGTTAAGAGTAAACGCCAAATCATTTGTAAGAAGAATAAACAAAAGTGATAATAATGTAGAGGACGCGTGTCTAGTTTCTTATCAGGGCAGAACGGAACAATTTCATTTTCCTTCATCTCGTTTCATGAGATGCCTCGGCGGAACAAACGACAAAAAGTAAAAGTCCGAAAGCGCCTGCGGACTTCAACGAGGATTTTCGATTCATCATTGTCACGATGAAAATAGTGTGTTTGTTTCGCTCATTAATCGTCATCTCATAAAACATCTAGAAATTGCTGAATAGAAGATTATTCAGAGAATTATGAAACTCAGTAGTGCACTGAAATATTGAATCAATTTTACTAAAATGCAATCTTACAAGTTAATTCATTTCCATTCACAAGTTCATAAATTACGACTTTTTACAGAAGTATCCTCGATCGAGTTAATCGATATCTAATATTAAAAAGAGATTAAATATAATTAGCATATTACTCTCATTTTCACTCGCGACTTTTTTTTCACGCAGAGGCGGGACCAAAGCGAACGAGACGCATGTCGACGGCGCATGTCCCGTGATGATTTCGCTCGATCGGCAGACAGGACATCGAAGACAGGTTTGCCACTTGCGATTTCGAGCGAGTAAAGGCGAGTATTACCATGCACCGTGTAATCAAAGAGTGCATTTCCCGTCGATACGTCGAAGTGAAATTCAACGACACGCGGAGTCGTTTGACTGCGCGAGGTAAAAGGCTGAAAGTGTCCGACGCCAAGCGAACGGCGGGGGGGACTTTCGATTCCGCGACGTCGTACACGATATGCACGCTCGTCGTCCGTCCCGGATTATAATCGTCATCTTATCTCATTTCGCGCCGTTTCATATCTCGTAT